TGTGTATATAAGTACAGTGGTAAGACAGGCTGAGCATTACAGGTTCGCTCTGTCACCAAGGCTGGAGTGCAGTGGTGAGATCTCAGTTCACTGCAACTTCCGCCTCCCAGGTTCAAGCAATTATCCTGTCTCGGCCTCCGGAGTAGCTGGGATTACAGGCATATCACACCACGCTTAGCTAATTTTTCTGTATTTTTAGTAAAGACAGGGTTTCGCCATGTTGGCCAGGCTAGTCTCAAACCCCTGATCTCAAGTGATCTGCCTGCCTCAGCCTCCCCACCTGCTGGGATTACAGGCATGAGCCACCATGCCTGGCCTAAAAAGCTGCTTTTTCTAAGCTGCATTAATTTTTTCAGCCTGGCCAGAGATGCTTTGGTAAATGTAATCCCAACACTTTGGGGGGCCACAATGAGAGGATCACTTTGGCCCAGGAGTTTGAGATCAGCCTGGGCAACATAGTAAGACTCTGTCTCTACAAAAAAAATGTTTTTGAATTAGCCAAGCATAGTGGTACACACCTTGCTAGTCCTTGCTATCTGGGAAGTTGAGGTGGGAGGATCACTTAAGCACAGGAAGTCGAGGCTGCAGTAAGCTATGATTGCACCACTGCACTCCAGTATGGGCAACAGAACAAGACCCTGTCTCAAAAAAATTTTTTTAAAGAATAAAGCAATAGGCTGGGGGTGGGACTCACGCCTGTAATCCCAGTGCTTGGAAAGGCTGAGCCAGGCGAATCACCTGAGGTCAGGTCAAGACCAACCTGGCCAACATGGTGAAACCCCGTCTCCACTAAAAATAAAAAAATAATAATAATAGCTGGGCACATGTCCGTAATCTCAGATGCTTGGGAGGCTGAAGCAGGAGAATTGCTTCAGGAAGAGGTTGCAGTGAGTCAGGATCATGCCACTGCGCTCCAGCCTGGGTGACAAAGCAAGATTGCATCTCAAAAAATAAAATAAAATAAAGCCAGAGGAAAGGTTCAGATAAAGCATTTCAGGTGATCAGAGAAGGGGTCCATTCCCTCCAGCAGAGGCATGCCCTGACCGCCTGTTTGATACCACAACCTGCCCCAGCCCTCACCCTCCAACTCCGTTTCTCCTGCTGTATTTTTTCCCATGACACTTATATGTAGTATACTATATAATTCATTTATTTATGATTAGGCTGTCACCCTTGCTAGAATGTAATCTCTGTCCATAAAGAGAGAGATTTTTCCAGCTTTGATGTATCTCAAGCACCTAGAATAGAGCCTGCCTATTGTAGGCATCAGTAAATTTCCCTAAATGCAGGCAGGACACACGTGGCAAGAGGCACATCCATCCCTCTCTCTATTCACTTAATATGCCTTTATCAGGCACCTGCTCTATGCCAAGCATTATCCTAAAGATGTAAAGAACATAAACTTCCCGTCCCCTCCCGGGTCTAGCAACCTGGGCAGCGGGCAAGTACTTCCTGCTTACAGCAACAGTGTGAGCAGAACCAGGAGCAGAGGGCCGCACTGCAGAGCAAGCACAGAGCTGGGTGTGACCCCCTCCCCCCGGGGGAATGAGGCTGGAGAGACACAGTGGTCACCAGGTCTAGAGACCCCAGACCCTGGCTGAGCAGATCGTAGCTTACATCTGAATGCTTACAATACCAAGACACGAGCTGCATTTGTAAATAACTCTTGTTAGATACAGATGTAAGACTCCATCAAAGCCAAACAAATCAGACTTAACTCAAGAGGTGGAAATCCAGGTAGGAGGAATGCTCAGAGTACTCTCTTCCTTATGGCCCAGATATTCTTCATGCTTCATGCTTTGCCCGTTTTCACGTCACAGAGGAACGGGCTCACACGTGCAGATGTACACCAAACACACGCAGGCTGATTCCAATTTTGCACAGATTATTTCAGTCCTAAAAGAAGAAGGCCAGGTGGGGTGGACACACCTGCCTTGTTCTTTGATTCCCTGTCACCATGAGAGGAAGAAGAATTGTTTGTTCAAGCAGCATACTCCTGAGAAGACCCGGTGTGAGCTGCAGCTCCAAGACACCCACACGCCTCGCCCTAGGGAGTACAACTAGCAGTCAGTTGTACTCTTGTTGGGCTTTGCTGAGTGCCAAGTTCAGTGCCAGGCACTGGGCAAAATCACAGAAGAAGAGAGAGTCTTGAAGAGCTCATGTCTGACCCCAGGAGGAGAGAGGAGATGCTATAAAAATCAGTGCATATAGGCGTAATTAGATTGGATGGTTCTCTGTGCTCTGGGAAAGAAATAGCACATAAAAATAATTCTGTTATAAACTGACTCTTTCCTATATTTAGCAAAGACAAATAATCACCCACTTCCCCAGTTGATCTGTTTTGTGAGTTCCTGTTTTTAAATATTGAGTTTTCTGAAAAGTTCACCTCACAAGCAGAAGATCTAATGGCAGCCACCAAGGACTATCCAGCCACCTGGGGTGACCTGGAGGTCCCTGCAGGGAGAGGTGAGGTGGGGAAAGGGCTATTGCAGGAACTGGGTGATTCCTCCACAGGGGAAGTATGGACACTTAGGCAAAATGAGAAGCACAAATTCCATGTTTCTGCTGCTGCTCTTCCAGTCCTGTGCCTTGGATGGCAGGAGAGTGGATCTCAAAGTTCTCTCCAAATCTTCCTGCTCAGCACTTTTACACCTGCTTTGGAATTCTCTAACAGCCTCACTGTAAAATACCTGGGATCAACAGTGGGGCAGAAACCACCTAGATTATATGGGTATAAAGGTAAATGAAGAATAGAGATCTCCAGGTAATTAGATGGTCCCAGGTCTAATGTGTTGATGTCAAGGGTGCTGTCTATGAGTACAGGTATAAGTAAAAAAAAAAAAAAAAAAATCGCTCTTCCTCTAAGCAGCTCAACCAAAGAAATAAGCCCCTACCAGATATCAGCTCTGATAAAGCCAGACCCCAGCAATGAGCTCTGACATTCTCTCTCAGGAGCTTAATGCCAGCAATGCATGGAGGGAGGGGCCGATGGATTTCTTTCAGACACCACTCTTCCAATTTGCTAAGAGACTGTTCCAAGCCTAGTCATTTCAGAAAGTACTACCTGGTGGCGAGCCTTGTCCTTCTACCCAAGAAACCTCATTTCCCATTTCTTTTTCATTGTTTCCTCCTTCTGTCCATGAGAGCAATTTAAGTCACTCTGAGTCCTCACTCACAGCCGATTGGATGACAATGAACCAGAACGGAGAAGACGTTCCAGAAATAGGAAACCACTGTGAAAAATACCTGCAGAGTCCCATTAAGCCTTGGGAATCAGGACCACTCCCTGGTAATTTAAATGTTCAGAATGTAAGGGGATCCAGTATAGTAGCAGAATATATTTTTGATGGTCTTCTAGCAGCTTCAGACAGGAAATGTGGATCCATCATTCACCCAGCAAGCATGTATTAAATTGAATGTCTGTACTACGTTAGGCACAGACAGCGGCTAATAGCTGATATTTACTGAACACGTACAGGCCAGGTGCTGGGTTAGTGCTTACTTGGGATTCATTATCTAATGTAATCCTCTCAAATGCCTGTGAGTGTCTTGCTCTTGTAATTCCCAATTTATGATCAAGAACATGGAGGCCCTGCTGCAGGGCACCATGATTCGTGTCTATAATGCCAGCTACCTGGGAGGCTGAGCCAGGATGCTCAGGTGAAAGGATCGCTTGAGGCCAGGAGTTCAAGACTAGCCTGGGCAACATAGCCAGATTCTTATCTGTAAAAAAAATTAAAATAAAAATAAAAGACCATGAAGGCACTGAGAGGTTAAGTAATTTTCTCAAGATCACAGAGCTAAATCACAGAAAAGCCAGGATTGAGCTTAATTCAGGCTCCAGCATGAACCACAATGCCGTGCAGCCCCAAGGAGAGATGTCCAGAAAAGATTGTGCAACCTGCTCTGAAAATCTGTTCCAGGCGTTGCCCTCAGAAAGTCCCTTAGAGTAAAGTTGAATTTCTTCTACTTCTGTTACAGTCCATTTCCTCTTGCGCGGCTCCAAGCCGGAGAAGAATTCCGCGTAGCAGCTTCTGAGAAGTTGAGGGAGGGGCCAGACGGGGACTGTCCTAGAGCTAGCATTGAAGGCAGCAACACTTGGTATATTCAGAGCTGAAACACTTCCAGTGGAGGTCACCTGCAGCCATTGGAAGCCTTATTTGCATTTTTTGAAGCCCCACTTTCTCCCATCCTTGGAGTCAAGGTACATTTACCTGCTGAGAAGTCAGAAGTCTCCCTCCTATGCAACATATCTGGCTTTTTTTTTTTTTTTTTTTTGACAGAGTCTTGCTCTGTCTCCAGGCTGGAGTGTAATGTCACAATCTCGGCTCACTGCAGCCTCTTTCTCCCAGATTCAAGCTATTTTTCTGCCTCAGCCTCCTGAGTAGCTGGGACTAAAGGCAAACACCACCACGCCTAGCTAATTTTTGTATTTATAGTAGAGATGGGATTTCATCATGTTGACCAGGCTGGTCCCAATCTTCTCACCTCGGCCTCCCAAACTGCTGGGATTACAGGCATCAGCCACCATGCCTCACATCTGGCATTTTTTCAAGCTGACGGTGTTCATGGAAAAGGGCGAAGAATGCTTTTATGTCCATTCAGAGAAGAAGCCCCCTAAATAAACAGTGTTTCCTGTGCCTTGGAATCTGCGAGCCCAGGGGTTCAGTACTACTCATCACAGGCTAATTCCATGGCATGACACAGCCTTCTAGGTCAATTGGGCATGTCCAGCATTTGAGTATGTCAGAGGCTTGTTAAAATACAGATTGCTGGGTCCCACCCCACGGCTTCCATAGGTTTGAGATAGGGCCCCAAAGCATGCATTTCTAACAAGCTCCCAGGTAATTCTGATGTTGCTGGTACGGGAACCACACTGTGTCTCCAGAGACAGCTTTGTAGAATTCCTGCTGCTCTATTGGCACATACATCACCATTCCCATACACCAGAGCGTCAAACATTCTAGAACACCATATTATTTAAAATCTCAGATGCACAAGTAAGTGTGTGAAGTAAGAGGTAGTGGGAGTGACGAAATAAGGACAGGTTGAGCCCAGACTGAACAGTAACATAAGAATAAACCTCTTGAGGACTGGTGGATCCAATAAAGGAGAAGCTGAGAGAGCTTGTTTATAGTAAGGCTTTCTACCTCCATTTTAAGATTATCAAAGTTGAACTGGGCAAAGCCAGCCCTACCCTATCCCATCCTGCCCTGCCCTACCCTCCCCTCCCCTGCCCTACCCTACCCTGCCCTACCCTATCCCATCCTGCCCTGCCCTGCCCTACCCTACCCTGCCCTGCTCTGCCCTGCCCTACCCTACCCTGCCCTGCCCTACCCTACCCTACCCTGCCCTACCCTGCCCTGCCCTACCCTACCCTACCCTACCCTGCCCTGCCCTACCCTGTCCTGTCCTACCCTACCCTGCCCTGCCCTACCCTGCCCTACCCTACCCTGCCCTGCCCTACCCTACCCTACCCTGCCCTACCCTGCCCTGCCATGCCCTACCCTGCCCTGCCCAATCCTACCCTTCCCTACCCTGCCCTACTCTGCCCTGCCCTGCCTTACCCTGCCCTGCCCTACCCTGCCCTGCCCAATCCTACCCTTCCCTGCCACACCATTCCCTGCCCTACCCTGTCCTGCCCTGCCCTGCCTGCCTTGCCTTGCCCTGCCCTGCCCAGACCTGCCAAGGAGTTTTTTCCTTCCTTGAGAGGAAATAGATTTACATCCCAGGCACAGGACAGTGGCTGGATTTGCATTCTCTTCCAGGGGAAAGACAGGAACATCTCTCCTGCTTGCCCTAAAGGCCTGTTAACATCTCCTCCATCAAGTTCCTGGTTAGACTCTAGGAGTTCAATATCAACAGCTGAAAGGAAGGGATTCTGAACCTCATATGCAGCCACAGTTCTGGAGGTCAGGAGCTGCAAAGTGGATGGGGGACCTAACTCTTGACTTATCCAAATGACTTCACCCATGTCATTCCCTCTAAATGGAAATCCCTTTCTCCTGGGTCTCTCAGTCAACTCCTGGCCTTCCTTCAAATCTCCACTCAGGCATTTGTCTCTGGGGAGAGATCCTCAGCATCCTGGGTAGACTCCGCAGACCTCTGTGCTTCTGCTCGAGCACATCCACACTTGGGTACTGTGCAAGTCTAAGAGACAGGACCAAATTTCTTAACTTGTGAGTATCCCCAGCCTGTCTCCTCTCGTCACCATGTAAAGAGGCCTCTTCCCATTGTCTCTGCCACTCTCTCACTCCCTGGGGGTAGGGATTACTCCTCTCTGTAATATAGCATCAAAGGCTAAGGAGAGAAAACTGAAGAGACAGAAGGAAAGGAGGATATTTAATAGAGATGAAAAGTGTGTGGACTGAGGCTCAAAAGATTTTTTTCTCTCTCTTTCTCCAAGGTAAAGGGAAATGTGCACAGGCCAGGCCAGTCTTCTGGGGTTTTTTTGAGTGCCAGGACAGACTCAGGGTGTGAGGGAGTGGATAGAACAGGGAAGGGTCGCCGTGGGTTAAGGCTCGCCCTGGACTGCCTGTGTGGACTCTCTTCACGAGTTTGAGAATACGAGGAACTTAAATTTTTCTGAAATATCTTTCGTTCCCTCTTTCTTTGACTGCTCTGGGACTGTATGTTTTTGTTGGGTTACATTTTAGTCCTTCTCTAACCTTTGAACTTTGCCCTTCCCGGTGCTGGGCACAGAGGCTGGCCACAGTATTATATTAAGTTAATGCAAAATTAAGTAATGACCAAAACTGCAATTACTTTTGCACCAACCTAATAGATGTGCAGAATGGGTTAGCCTCTTTCCTCCCTTCTTTCCTCCATCAGTCCCAAGAAGCCCATCATGCTGAAAGGGTAGTGGTATGGAACAGGGCTGACAGAACCACTGGAGGGAGAGAGGCCAATAAAACATCCCCCTAAGCCTCCCTGGACTGAATACCAGCCACATAGTGCTGATCTTGGCTGGGAGCCCACCATTTACCAACCCCCTACGGGCCTCTGGGGTATGGCTAATTAAAGACATGGTTACTCATTTCATTCCCAAGTCACTATTTAAGGAAGCAGAATCATGCCATTCCTACAAGGCCTCTGACCTTACACTGGAGGGGAACAATGCTAGGGCTTGTCCAAGTGGCCGTAAGTACAGGGCTGTCCAAAGAGCATAGGAGGGGCAGAGGCGGGGAGACCAGAGGCCCCACAGCTGGGCCAGCTGCTGGACTGTCCCTGCTTCAATGTCCTCCTCTCTCCCTTTCCCCAAGGCACCAGAATCTAGTGACAACCCCTCCCAAACCAACGCCCCTGCCAGGGCAACTCCTGGGTTTTCTGGGCATAATCAGAGTCACACAGCTGACCCAGAAAAAAGCTCCAACAATCTCCTTTTGGATTTCAACTAGCAGCAGTTTGGAGTATTTGGGATTTTTCAGTTTTCAGTTATTCTTTAAGAAGTAAAGAAAAGCATGGCTTTCAATCAACAAACTCTTGTTGAGATCTGCTCTATGCCAGGCCTGGTGTTAAGATGGGAAAGAACAAGGTATGAAATATAATTCCTGCCCTCAAAGAGTATCCAGTCTTGTAGATGAAATCGACACATAAATAAATTACACCAATGCAGAATAAGCATGAACGCAGATATGTAGTATGCACAGTGCAGAGTAGGTGGTGATGACCTCTAACTGAGAGGGGAAGAAAGCCGTGCCAGAAATCTAAGGTGGGCTTTGGGGGGCAAATGGGAGTTCTTCAGGTAACCCAGTGACAGAAGAACATCCCTAGCAGAGAAAAACATATTCAAATTCATTTAGATCACAGAGAAATTGGTTGAACCTACTTGTTCCAGTGGGTCTCAAGCTTTTTTAACGAACAACTCTTAATACGAGATAAATGTGAATGGAGACGCCTGTTCTGAAACATCCAGTGCAAGCATAAAATGTCTTAGACTGGCCAGGTGTGTTGGGTCATGATTATAATCCCAGCCCTTTGGGAGGCCAAGGCAAGAGGATTGCTTGAGTTCGCGGCTGCAGTGAGCTATGGATTACACCACTGCACTTCAGCCTTGGTAATGGAACAAGACCCTGTATCTGAAAATAAAAAACATAGCCTGGGTGCAGTGGCTCACACCCGTAATCCCAGCTCTTTGAGAGGCCAAGGCAGGTGGATCAACTGAGGTCAGGAGTTCGAGACCAGCCTGGCCAACATAATGAAACCTCATCTCTACTAAAACTACAAAAATTAGCTGGGCATGGTGGCTTGTGCCTATAATCCCAGCTACTGGGGAGGCTGAGACAGGATAATTGCTTGAACCCAGGAGGTAGAGGTTGCAGTGAGCAGAGATCACACCATTGCACTCCAATCTGAGGGACAAGAGTGAGATGTCTCAGAAAAAGAAGACACTGATTTTCATTTTTAATAATGCAAATTATGCATCAGCATTTACAATATTCTCATATATTATGATATTAAAATAAGGTTTTGCATTTCCAGTCAGTAAGTTTACTTGACTTTCCAAATGTACATTGTCAAATAAAATTGATCCTCCATGGAAGCAGCAGCTCCGTGTTAACCCCTTGGCTTCACATTTGCCTGACACACCCTGGAGTCAGAGGAAGTTAGTCTGTACTCCAGCCTGAGAATTAGAAAGCCTCTAAAAGGGGTTGGAAAGCCAGGCTCAGGGACTCACGCCCATAGTTCCAGTGACTCAGGAGGCTAAGGTAGGAGGATTGCTTGAGCCCAGGAGGTCGAGGGTGCAGTGATTTTGCCACTGCACTCCAGCCTGAGTGTCAGAGAAAGACTGGCTCAAAAAAAAAAAAAAAAAGATGTGAAGACCAGAGACCAGAGCTTTGTCTCTGAATGTTCAAGTGATTTTTCACACTCACATTTAGAACTGTTGACCTGGTGTGACCACAGGCCCAGTATTTCCACTCTTCTGGAAGTTTAAAGTTTGTCCCCATTCCTGCTAGCCCTCCCTGACTTCCACACTGGTTGACTTGAGGAATATGCCACCTGTGGGGCCAGGGAAGCCAATCAGGCAATGAAAGGGTGGGCAAGGGGAATCTCTCCCACAAAACCAGCACCAGGGACCTTCCAAGCTAAGTGTGCAACTGAGAGCCAATCAGATGTAGGGAAGCAGGGGAGGTTTTAAAAAACCACCTCAAATGAGAGCTAATTGACTCCCCAATCCCCATGCTAGGCTACACCCCAGACCAATTAAGTCAGAACTCATGGAGTGGCTTAGAAGTTATTCCAGGCTTTGAATTTATTATTTATTAATTTATTCCAGGCTTAGAATGTATTAAACCTCCCAGGTGATTCCAAACCTTCCAGGTGAGTCAGTGAGCGAGATCACTGTGGTTCTCAACCTGGCTTCACAGGAGAGTCACGTGAGGATGTTTTCATACCTATGCTGGGGGAGCCACGCCCCAGTCCCATAGATCAGAATCTCCTGGGTTTAGGGCTGGGCATCAGAATGGCCTCTAGACCAGGGAAGGGAGCTGAGCTATCCTGGTCTGTGTCCTGGGGCACATTCCTTGAAATTTTCCAGGTTGCCCATCTGTGCCTACACCTGCAGGAACTGTCAGGGTCATCCCTGGGGTGTCCTGAATGAGGATCAGGATGCAGGTACCCACAGAGCTTGGTGACTCGTGCCTTTGCAGTAGTCATGACACCTGTGGCCGCCATGGTACTAGGAGGGCAGCCTGGGCCGCGCCCACTGCCCAGAGCAATGTTTCTTGCTTGAGAGGTGTGGCCATCAGTGGTGCTGATTAGGGATGACTTACTTACGTGGAGCACAGGGCATGTTCAGGACCCTGGCTACAGACCATCCACCACAGACCCCCTCTTGAGTCACATGAGTGAATTGTGCATGGCTCTCATGCTCTGTGCTGGGACCCTCCTAGATCCTCCAGTCTGAGCAGTAGCGGCTGTGACATTAACTGTGTCCGCCCAATTGTGGCCACCCATGCCCGCCACAGGTTCAACAGTCTTCCCAGGTGGCCGTCCAGCCCTTTGCCTCTAAAGGTAAACAGACCCCACGAATCAGTGTCCTCTCATCTCCCCCAGATGTAGTGAGGAACCACAGTCGCTGTCAATCGCAGGCCATGCCTGATGAGGGTAGACATTTGTGGGAAGAGGCCTGCTTACTCTTTCCACAAGCCACTACCCTGTGGGCTGGTGGCACTGCCTGGCAGGCAGGAATGCAGTTCCTATGGAAAGATATCTCATCTTGGGAAGACGCTAATTACTGCCTGATGGGTTCAGAACATGGTTGGAAGGTGTCTGTATTAACCTGTTCTCATGAGGCTAATAAAGACATACCCAAGACTAGGTCATTTATAAAGGAAAGAAGTCTAATGGACTCACAGTTCCACATGGCTGGGGAGGCCTCACAATCATGGTGGAAGGCAAGGAGGAGCCAGTCAAGTCCCATATGGACAGCAGCAGGCAAAGAGAACTTGTACAGGGAAACTTCCCTTTATAAAACCATCAGATCTCGTGAAACTTATCCACTATCACGAGAATAGCATGGGAAAGACCCACCCCCAAGATTCAGTTATCTCCCACCAGGTCCCTCCCACGACATGTAGGAATTATGGAAGTTACAATTCAAGATGAGATTTGGGTGGGGACACAGCCAAACCATGACAGTATCCTACATTTGTGCTAGAAAACCAAAAAACGAATTATCCTTCACACTATCTTCCATACTGGGAAAGACTTGCATTTTTTTGTTCACCAAGGGGAAAGCACCTTTAAAAGATTATTGAGAGCTGATATAGACTGATGTAAATGTTCTGAGAGTGTTTAAGGTAGACTAAACTAGGACATTCGGCACACCAGATGAGACAGTTCACCTTAACAATGAAGCAACCCTCAAACTAACAGTACTGAGGAAAAGCAGAAACAAAATCTATTCTTTCGATTCAAACTGTTCTGAAGAGCCCCGGCATGGTAACAACAGTGTTGCTACCTTTCTCTTACAGCAGGAGACACAAAAATAATCAGAAATGGTGCATTTGCTGGTGAAGAACAGGAAGAGATTCTGTCTGGACCCCTCAAAGAGTCTCTGTGTGCACTAACTGGTCAGTACGCAAATACATAAGTAACTCTCCTCTACCCATTCTAATTTTTCTTCAATGTATCGCCATATCTCATGTGGGCCCATGAATTTTGTGATGCATTTTCTAATCATCTTTATAGATGAGGGCCCCAGCAAGCAATGTTTTCCCAGGGCTCTGCACATGCTAGGGGGAATGCTCTTGGGTATTCTGGGTATTTTCAAAATCTTCCAGGTGGTTTCCATTTCGTACCCAGGGTTGTAAGTCCCTCTGTGAGAAGCGAGAAGGTGGATGTGGACATGTCATCCAGCAGGTTTCAGCCAATGATAGAGGAGGGCTCCAGGGAGTGTTATAGGTGGGACTGTATCCTAACAGTCATATGTAGCTCAGACAGGGACCTTATTTGGAAATAGGTTCGCTGCAGATGTACAGATGCTCCTCAACTTACAATGAGGTTATGGCCTGATAATCCCATCGTAGGTTGAAAATACTATTAAGTCGAAAATGCCTTTTATATACCTAATCTACTGAATGCCATAGTTTAGTCTAGTCTACTTTAAACATTCTCAGACCACTTACATTAATCTACACTGGAGCAAAGTCATCTGACACAAAGCCTGTTTCATAACAATGTGTTGAATATCCCACGTGATTTATTGAGTACTGTACTGAATGCATGCCACTTCCACATAATCATGAAGTAGAAATATTTTAAGTGGAACCATCGTTAGGTTGGGGACTGTCTGTAATTCGTTTCAAGATGGGATCATACTAGAGTAGGGTGGCTTCTAATCCAATATGACTGGTGGTGTTCTCATAAAAAGGAGGAAATACAGACACGCAGACATGCACATGGGGGAGTGCCAGGTGAACACGAAGGCAGAGATCAGGGCAATGTGTCTACAAGCCAAGGACCACAAAAGATGCCAGCAAATCATCAGAAGCCAGGAAGGAGGCCCGGAATAGGTCCTTCCTTCACCGCTCTCAGAAGGAACCAACCCCACTGTCACCTTGCTCTCTGGACTCCCGGCCTCCAGAACGGAGACAATGTTTCCGTTGTTAAACCGCCCCTTTGCTGTGCTTCATTTCACTGGCCCTAGCAAACGAATGCAGGGAGGCTCCTCAAAAGCACCAAATGGAAGGTCAATTACACAATGGTGAAAAATGAGTTTTAAAAATAAATAAACAGAAACTTTCCAGGTGACAAAAGAATTGGAAAGCACTGGGAATTATTTCTTTGAGTTGCTCTTTTCTAATGCACTTACCACTGCTGCAGGAAGCCTTATCCATCTCCCCAGTGAGCATCCCCAATCTGCTGACTGCTAGTAAGAAAATAACTGGCTCCATGTATGTACGTTCCTAGAATCCTTTGCTCATTTCAACCTGCCAGGCCAAGGAGAGATAATCGTGTTAAATCACCTGGCAATTTAACTGTTCCTCTTTTTAGTGTCAAAGGAGTCTTTCTCTTTAATCAATGAAAAACCTGAGGTCTCCCTGGCAAATAGTAAAACCTTATGATTAAGAGCCCACAAGGAGCTGGATTTAACAGGAGAGATTCTGGGTGCAAAGAGAAGCTTCTAATGGATCCTCATCAGGCTCCCTGCTGAAGGAACCCAGAGATAATCCAAGTCCCGGACAACAGAGGCCTGTGTGTCTCCCACTGGACACTAAATTCCTCCCATCTTCCCACAGGGCCCTGTCTTCATGAATGTCTAACTGAATCCCCCTCCCTAACCCTACCTTCAGCCCAGAGATTGTTCTTCCTTGTCTGATTACTGTACAAGAAGTGAAGACAAGCACCTTCCTCAAGATATTCATGGCACACAAGTCAGTTAAAAAAGCGTCACACAAACCAGCTAAAAAGATGACAAATAGAAATGTAGTTAAGGTCAGTAAAGGGAAATGGGGGTTGGATCGAGAAAGAAATTTTTCTTTTTTTTTCTTTCTCTTTAATTTTTATATTTTTGAGACAGCGTATTGCTGTCGCTCAGGCTGGAGTGCAGTGGTGTCATCACAGCTCATTGTAACTTTGATCACCTGGTCTTAAGTATTTCTCCTGCCTCAGCCGCCCAAATAGCTGGGACTACAGGTGCACACCACCACACCTGCCTAATGCTGTTATTTTTATTTTTTGTAGAGAGGAGGTCTCATTTTGTTGCCTAGGCAAGCCTCAAATTCCTGGTCTCAAGTGATATTCCCACCTCAGGCTCCAAAGCTGCTGGGATTGCAAACATGAGCCACCATGCTCAGCCTAAGTTTTTCTTTTTGCAAATGTAAATAGAGCTGAGAAATTCTTTGGCTCTTTTGGATCTTATGGAAATAATTTTCTGATCGAAGAGCTGGAGACTCACCCATCTTCCTACATAAGGCTTTAGTGGATCTAGAGAGCTTTAGATAAGGCCCCCTTAAAATAAATGCAAAAGAATTAGTGTCTTCCATCCTGATAGTTCTTTTTGAGTCTCTTCCTATTTTCTAAGGACTTTTGGGTAGATGGATTTGGAGGGGAAAAAACATACTGAAACCAGAAATAGACTGATCAATCCCAAGCCAGTTGCATCTTCTAGCTCTCTGGCAGGCTGCCTGCCTGAGCAACCGCTTGTCCACTAATTCCCTAAAAATGCCCTTGGTCAAAAGTTGCAAACACCTTGTGCCATTTTAAGGTGAGCCCTAGCTCCGTTGCTGGCTGCATGAATCTCTGCTGTTAATAGGAAGTTTGACATCATTCTTCCAAAGCCCTGCATTTAAATCCCAGCTTCTTCCCTTGTGCAAGTTATTTGACTAAGACTTGGTTTTCTCATCCCTAAATGGCGATGATGGAAGTGATGTCGGTGTTTTCATAACTCTTGTGAGGATTAAATGGGAGAGTGAATGCAAAGAGCCTGATCTACAGCAGCTGCTCAATAAAAGAGTGTCCACCCCACTTGTCTGACCTGCAGCCCAGCTGAGGCTACGAACCTCCTCCCTTGTCCATATGAAAAGAAGGAGGGGATAGAATCTGTGACTTCAATTCCTTCTGCACTGACCACTTTGTAGTGGCTCCGAGCCTAGGCTCCTGAGCTATAAATTCTGATCAGGGAGCTAGTGCTGATAATGAATGAAAAGGTCAGAAGACTGGCCCTTTTCATCTCAAGGAGTCAAATAAAGGAGAATCCACATGCTGGATTTTAATTCCAATCAGTAAACATAGGTTGATCAAAGACCCATGTCAGTCCTCTGTTGGAAACTGAGAAGAAAGAAAAGAGATTTGGCCCCTTCATCTGAGCCTCTCTACATTTGAATGTGGGGTCAATCATTCTAGTGAAGTTAGTTCTAGATGCAAGAACTAACTCAGCAATGCCCCGGTACTAAATTAACTGAAATTCACAGGTGTTGTTCAAATACAGGTTTGGGACTTTGAGGGGACACATTTCTTGACTCCAAAGAAAGCCCATGGTAAATGTCTTTCCATACATCCGTTTTCCAAGAAAATTGCAGTGATTCCATATGTTAGTATATTATTTTGGCTCATTTTATTTATGTATGAAGGAAAAATACATTATTGTTTCTTGTTTCTTAATCCATAAACCTCATTGACCTTAATTTGTAACAATATAAACTAGGAGTGACTTTTTTAGTTACTAAAGGCAACTATATTTTCATTGAAATAATTTGACAAAATAGTTTTTAAGTCCTAGAGAAGAACCTGTTCTCTAATTGACTAATTAAAACCCACTTAATCTAATAAAGTAGATCCTCTATGGACCTTCTGTACTAGAGAAAATTTTATTAGTCTGAGTAGAGCTACAGGATAAACTTAGAGGTAATAAACTGCAGCGGGGAAAGAAATCAAACATGCTGTAGGCGGGAACCTCTGCTTATCTACACCAATTCCTCAAGTGACGCCAGGAACTATATTTGTGAAGAAGCCTCCAAACTTTTGACCTGTAGCTATCTTCTCCAGTTTCGAAAACCAGATTCCCTCCCTGAATGACTAGTGATGTTTTTCCTTTGAAGATAGCATGCCCTCTGCTCTTTCTTGCGGCCAAGGTCAAACTGATCTTGTCTGACACATCCTCTCTTGTCCAACTGCATCCCATTGAAAACTGAGACCATTTGGCCAGCTAGCTTTTCCTAGGCCAGCAAAGGGAGCTCAGTGCAGAACAGAGAATGACACTGTCTGACCATCCTCTTCCCAAGTGTGCTCCCTCTGGGGAATCCTGGAAGTGCAATGGACACAAGATGGACTATAATCTTGGTCCTGGTGCCCACAATTAAGAACATACTACATAGTCACATACATGAGCTGTGTGTGTCTGAATCTACAAACGGGCAGCCATGAATATCTCTCTACATTTTCAAGAAAGAACCCTCAAATGAGGCAAAAAAAGATTTCCTTAGACCCTAGAGGTCTCTACGAAACCTTGCTTTAATTAGATCAGAATAGTTGTATTTAACTTGTCAAATTGATAGATGATAAACCAATGATAGATGAGACTGACTGACTGATTGATTGATTGATTGATTGATTGATTTAGAAGTCAGACAGATCAAAGTTTATACCAATTCCTGGCTGAAGGAGCCCTGATAAGGTTCTGAGTTTCCTTAAGTCCTAGTTTACTTGTCTGTCAAATGGGTTTGCTTACCTCTCCAGGTAGTTTTGAGACATGAATGAACCTGTGTCTGTCTGTAAAGCACTTATTAAAGTGACTGACATAAAGTAAGCCTCAATAAACAGGAACTATTAACAGCTCATTGTTATTGAAGGATAGTTAGGGCCTCTTTGTGAGTTCAGGAGTTCAGAACAATAAGGAGTCTGACTGGACTAATGGAAAGGTTCCGATACACATCTTTGTAAATGGATACTTTCCACAACAATGCACAGCGCAAGTGGGATCAGTCACCTGGTAGTCAGATGTGTACAAGTCACGGAGAGTGAGACAGTTCTGCTCAGGACCTCAGGAACCCAGCCTGATTTCCTGGTTCAAAATCACACCTGTGAAACTCTATCCAGGTGGGAAATTCTTCTGGTTGACTCTCCTGGAGCCACGGTTCATTATCAAGTTATTTCTCTGGGTCACCCTGAGGTTGCCTCCTTAATTAATGCAACAGCCAAAGGAGGCCAGACCCAGGAACTTAGCTGCACAGCCTTTTGCCTAAAAGTCCATAATAACACCTCTTCTTTGTTGAACACTTACTATGTGCCAGGCACCGTGCAAACAGCCTTATGTGCATTCGTTTATTTAATCCTCTAATGGCGGTCTGGAGGAGCAGCTAAAATAATCCCCATGAAAGACGCAGAATCTCGGGCTTGTCAAAGCCCAGTCATTCATCCAACATCACAGCTAGGAAGTGGTGGAGCCAACATTCCAGGTCTTTCTGACTCGAGTGCCGGAGCTGTTACCACCAGGATATACTTCACAGCAAACCATTAATCTCACATTTCTCTACCATGCCACATGTGTTTATACTGCACCTGAGAATAAAAGGCGGTTTAAAATTCTTCCTTTTCTCATCTGCTGAAGAGCAGCACAGCTTGTGGCCGGCCACCAATCAGGCCCTACCTTGCTCCAGGTTTTCCAGAATACTCCTCAAATCCTCCTTGTATCCCATCACTGCTTACCCCAGTTCCTGCTCAGGATTTTTTCTGTACTTTCAAAAAACAACTGCAATGTAGCAATTAGTTTAAATCACTCTTAGCTAAGAATCCTGTTTTCAGGAGCACCTGGTTGGAGCAAGAGTGCCACCTGGTGGAAGATTTGGGTCACTGCCAACAAACGTTTCTTGGGGAAAGGTGGGCAGGCTGGACCTGAGCAGTGCTCCTACTGCCTGGAACTATTCCTGGACAGCTGCAAGAACTAACTCAGCAATGCCCAGGTACCGGTTCTACTGCAATTCACCTGTGTTGGTCAAATACAAGTTTGGGACTTTGAGGGGATGCATTTCTTGGCTCCAAAGAAAGCCCAGGATGGGGATTAGGATAAAGTAAGTGAGACAGAGTCTTGCAAGTACAGGAGGGCATCCTGGCTTTACTTAAAACGTTAATGTTTTATTCACTATGAACTTTTTGCATTTTGATTTTTTTTAACTGCATTAAAATCTGATTTGTCTGGATTCCTGAGTTGTGGGTACCCTCTTGCATTTCGTACCCACAACAAATGTCTCGCTTGCCTCCCTCTAGGATTAGTCCTGTCAAAGCCCTCTGAGAAAGGATTCTGCTTCCTTTCAAAGCTATGGCTATAAGGAGGTGACCACCGGCTCCCATCACTTCCCCACACATCTGTCTCCACTTTTCCTCATCTGAGAACGGCCTTGGTCCACCTCTATCATCTCTGCGGCCCCTCCTGCTCTAGTTGATACACCAACCCAAGTCAAAAGAAAGTACGCAAACCAGTATACACACTCGAGTGTAACAAGTGAATAAATGGCAAGAAAACACAGTGTGCCAAACACTGATCTGGTCGCAGATTACCGCTCCTTTGGCAGGCAACTAACAAGCCAAGCTACAAAGCTGCTTCTGCTTTTCCCAGGTCCAGGACCATCAAGTCATAAGAAGTCAGGGCAAAGGATATTTGCCAACACTCTGCCCTCACCCAAACTTGGCCACAGCACATGGAAGGTCACCTCGTAACAATTCTTTCTCAACAGTGTCCAAACTTAATGCCCACATCAGGCCAGATCACCATAAAGCTCTATGTCTGGGCTGGCTTATTCCAGTCTGGCTCACAGTCTAAGGCTGGTAGGAGGTCTTTACCTGCAGTGCATGCATGGGCATGAGGGGTCACGAGCATGGTTCTGGAAACCCTTGAAATTTTAAGCAAATTATGTGCATCTTCTGGGGAGACAGCTTATTATTTTCCTCTGATTTTCCAAGGAGCCTTTGACTCTAAAGGGTAAGAATCACAACAGTCGTAATGGAGTCTTCAGCCTTTATCAAGGGTCTATGTGAGAACCAGCAACAAGAAATACCTTCCTCAGCATGGCCTGGTGAAAACAAGCATCAGTGGGCTACTCTGAGGCATGTAAACCATGTTGGGCCATCTCAATGCAAAGATCCAAGCGTTTCTTAGCGTACAGAAGAAGGAAGAGTTTTTCTCTCTTGATAAACTGGAATCTCACCTGGGTATAGAATAGGATAATCCGTGTTTCCTTCTTTGCCTTTTACTGCTAGCTTGAACTCTTTTTCAACCTCACCATGGCTGTCAGGCAGTTCTTTTTTGCAAGCTCTAGACTTTCCTCTGAAATGCCTTTTCCCCACTTGGCATCCTCACTCCTCCTGTAAGACCTGGCCCTTGTGTCAGCCTACTCAACACTTCCAGGCAGAGCTGAGCACATACACACACTTCTGATATTAAGCAGATCGGTTTTCTAGAATGATGTGCATATGTATCTATCTTCCTCACAAGAGCCCAGGAGCGCATGAAATCCAGTCTTATTGGTTTTGGTACCCTCAGCACCTAGCACAGATCGGTGTGTAAAAACAAACGTTCAATGAGAGGATAAATCAATCCATGGATGAATGAGCAAATAATTATAGTATGTGTTTTCCTAAAATATTCTTTGACTTTTTCAACAATGTGTGAGCCTCAGTAATAACGATTGACAGGCAGAGCAAACAGATTCCCCCACAGCCCCCAGTGCCTTCATTTCCCAGATGAGGAAAGTGAGATTGCAACAGACATCAGCAGAGGAGTCCAGCAGCTCCCCCAGGAGCCACACCCAGGCCAGCCGCCGGCCACTCCGTGGCTGTGTTCTAAGAACACGCAGCACCTCCACAGCACTTGGCAGGTTTTGCCACAGGCATGCCACTTTGCCTTGCTTTTTGCTCTTTTCCCTCCTTTTGCTGCTCCCTGGTTTAGGGTCCTCCCCACCTGTGCTCAGAGCACATAGTAGGGAGACAACTGAGCAGGAGAATTCACAGGAGAGAAAGTATGGTGGCTGGCAGATGCCCACTGTATCCCCAGCAGGGTCTGGAAACCTCAGTCTTCATGATCCTTTGTCATCAACCATAGTAAGAGTTCCCATTACTATGGGAACTTGGTTAATTCCCATTAACCAAGTAATGGGAAACGTGTTGACTCTTTCAACTTATTTCAACATCAGGATGCAGAGAGCTGATTCATGCCCAGAAGTGCATGACCCATGAGCCTAAATAGCTGGGTTTACTCTGCTTCTTCTCACTGGAATTAGTCTGATAAAAATCTCAGGGCGGCCAGGCGCAGTGGCTCACGCCCGTAATACCAACATTTTGAAAGACCAACATGGGCTGATCACGAGGTCAAGAGATAGAGACCATCCTGGGCAACATGGTGAAACCCCGTCTCTACTAAAAACACAAAAAGTAGCTGGGTGTGGTGGCGCGCCTGTAATATCAGCTACTCGGGAGGCTGAGGCAGGATAATCACTTGAACCCGGGAGGTGGAGGTTGCAATGAGCCAAGATCGCGCCACTGCACTCCACCCTGGCGACAGAGCGAGACTCCATCTCAAAAAAAAAATCTCAGGACGGCTCCCCTCAACAAGCAACGTCAACAATTTTTTTTAATACAGGTAAATCAAGAAAGGACCTAGGTTTTGATTCACTGGGGTTTTGTTTTGTATTTGTTTTTATTTATTTTAAAGACAGGGCCTTACTCTGTCATCCAGGCTGGAGTGCAGGGGCCCCACTGTAGCTCACTGTAGCCTCCAACTCCTGGCCTCAAAAAATCCTCCTGCCTGATGCATTGTTTGTGAGCAGCAATTTGACCTTCTCTTGGCCACTCCTCAGAATTTAGGTGTCTCCTTTGAGGAGCACAAAAACCCACAAAGGAAAACAGGAATATTCCAAATGTAGAGCTGGGAAAAGTGAAGTCCCTTTACTCTTCCTCCTCAAACGTTCACCCAGTTCATGCATCTCACCTCTCCCAGATGTCTGGTAGAAACGGGCCACCTGGCCCTGATCACACGGTTTTCTGTTCTGTGCACCTCTTTTCTGTTACCCTAGATTTTAGAAATTTCTGTCGCCTTTTTTACCTATTAAGTAGAAAATAGATATTGCTTAATCGAGAACAGCCACCAAAGTCTAAAGGCAAGTTAAAGACAAGGGTACTTGATAAAAATACAAACCACTTGGAGGCCAAGTGTGGTGACTGATGCCTGTAATCCCAGCACTTCAGGAGGCCAAATTAGATCATTTGAGCCCAGCCTGGGCGATAAGGCAAAGCCCCATGTCTACAAAAAAAAAAAAATTATCTGGGTGTGATAGTGCACACTTGCATTTCCAGCAACCCAGGAGGCTGAGGTGGGAGGATCGGCTGAGCCCAGGAGGTCGGGGCAGCAGTGAGCCACGATCATGCAGTGAGTAGCCAGCCACTGCACTCCAGCCTGGACCACAGAGTGAGACGCTGGCTCACAAAAAGAAAAAAAATTATAAAACATTACTACAAGCCAGACCCTTTATTTTACACTTAATCCTCACCCCAATCCTCTAAGGTAAGTGTTTTTATTCTGTTTTACACATGAAGAAAACTGAGGCTTGGAGAGTTTAGTGTTTTCTTCTGGTAGAGCTGCAGGTACTGCCCAGGCCAAAGTCTCATTCTAAAACCCTACCATTGCCTCCCGAATCAGCTCAGCTCTTCTCACGCTTATCTACCTTGAATGGGCATCACGTTAAACCTTCCTTCATCTCCTCCATTTAACCAGCCCTGGGCTGGGAACATGGCACAGTGCAATATTTCTGAACTTGAGAGTGACTGCTGGCACTCCCTCCAATCTTGCCTGTAGCTGGACCCCTGATCAATTCTACTCCTTGCTGTAAAAAACAGACCGGACCTCAGAATCCTTCTCAACACAGTACTCCAGGCAGCTACTACCACGCAATCAGCATTGCCTTCGATGACAGAGTCAGTGACTCATAGAATCCAATTTCCATTTCTTTTCCATCCTTCCTGCCTGATTTCCCCAGTATTTCTGGGAAGGGTGGATGGACGGATGAATGGAAAAGGAAAATGAATGCTCCTCACACAGGAAAACGCTGCTTGGCACCACTCCTGATTTTGCTGACTTCACCCAATGCCAGAGCTTCCTTACAAAACTTGCTCTTCGCATGAGGCGTCTGTGGCATTTGTTACAGGAACTGGTGAGACGCACGGGTCGTTCTGAGGCCAGGAGGACCCTCTGCATCAGCAATTTGCTTCCCTCGCAGTCTGATTTCCTCCCCTCCAACACACGCCTGAGCTTAAAAACAGCCATTCACCCCGTACTTCCTTCTTCCTTTTAAAGCTCAAGCTGACAAGAGAAATTTCTTTCTCCCACTCACCTTTTTTTTTCCCCTATAGGAGTAAAAGATTTACAGCTCCGCTTTGGGATACGTAGGGATGAACACTGATTAAAAACTCTCGTGTGTCTTTGGGGCCACAAGCCCCTTAACCTGAGCCATTAGGTACCCAGAGCTTCTGATTTAGCTTTGGTCAAGAAAGCATGTTTACCAAGCCCCATTGAACTCCCAACGTCAGTTTTAAAACAATCTAGTGTTGATGCTATCTGGATATTCTTTCCCTCAGCAAAACACTGCTCAGTGTTTGAGAGGAAGGAACTATTAAAAATTCATATTCAAGAGAGTTTGAACAGGAATGAAATAGCTCTTATGGAGCGACATTTTGGTGACTTGAGTGCGAGGAAATCAAAAGCATATGGATTGTATGCTGTTAAAACATACATTTGTTTCCTCTGAAAGGAAAAAAATACTAGAGAAAAATATTTTTTATAAAATGCATACATTGGAAGATAGCTGGAGATTTTTAAAAAAAAAAAAACCCAATGTGACAAGGATGGCCTAGCCCTAGTTATTAATATCTTGGAACCAGCTGGAGAGTAAAATTAGGTTGTAAAATGGTTGTACCATTTGTTACTCCAAGCTGGAAATGACACATTTCTAAAGGAGAAAAAATGCCATATTGAGGCACATGAAATGAGGTTTTGTTTCATTGTCTCTGTTTTGATGTTAGTCACCATAATAATTCCTTTCACTGAACTCACGCCTAGCCAAGGTCAAGGTGGACAGATGAGACCAGGTCCTGGAGCCAGACTCTTGTTGGCTTTGCCTCTAATAGTGATGGGATCTTGGGCAAGCTCATTCACCTCTCTGTGCCATAGTTTCCTCATCTGGAAAGTAAGAATCATCATCATCATCATCATCATCATCATCATCATCATAGCTGCTCTACTGAACCGTCCAGGTGAAGCCCCTGTAATTAAATGCCTGGTACACAGGAAGTTCTCTGTAAATGTTACCTGGGATGATGTGTTGTCCTGCCAGGAATGCCCGGCCACTAGGTATCTCCATGCTCAGCCACTCTTCAAAAACTGACCGACAGGCCAGGCACAGTGGCTCATGCCTGTAATCCCAACACTTTGGAAGGCCGAGGCAGGTGGATCACTAGGTCAAGAGATTGAGACCATCCTGACCAACAAGGTGAAACCCCATCTCTACTAAAAATACAAAAATTAGCTGGGCTTGGAGGTGTGTACCTGTAGTCCCAGCTACTCAGGAGGCAGAGGTTGCAGTGAGCCGAGATCGCGCCACTGCACTCCAGCCTGGGCAGCAGAGTGAGACCCTGTCTCAAAAAAAAAAAAAACCTGACTAACAGCTACACTGACAGAAAAAGGAAAGACACAAATAACTAAACTCGGAAAATGAAAATGAGGACATTACTACCAACCTTACAGAAATTAAAAAGATTACAAGGGACTATTATTATTATTGTGAACAATTTTTCACCAACATATTAGATAACCTAGATGTAATAATAGTTTCTAGAACCACATGAATTACCTCAATTAACTCAAGAAGGAATGGAAAATCACAACAGACCTATAAAAAATTAAAATATTGAATTAGTAATCAAAAGCTTCCAATGAAGAAAAGTCCAGGACCATATGGCTTCACTGGTGAAATCTACTAAATATTTAAAAAATCCTTGTCAGCCAGGTGTGGTGGCTCATGCCTGTAATCCCAGCACTTTTTGAAGCCGAGGTGGACAGATCACCTAAGGTCAGGAGTTCAAGACCAACCTGACCAACATGGAGAAACCCCATCTCTACAAAAACTACAAAATTAGCCCGATGTAGTGGTACATATCTGTAATCTCAGCTAATCAGGAGGCTGAGGCAGGAGAATTGCTTGAACCCGGGAAGTGGAGGTTGCAGTGAGCCGAGATGACACCATCGCACTCCAGCCTAGGCAACAGGAACAAAACTCCATCAAAAAAAAAAAAATCCTTGTCAAGAATCTTGCTTCCAGAAAATAGCAGAGGTGAAAACACTTCCTAAATCACTCTATGAGGCCAACATTACCTTGATACCAAAATCAGTCATTTCTTTTAGGACCTTGACCTTAAATATAACATTACCTCTCCTCTTATGAATCACCCTGATTCATTTTGCTTCACAGCACTTAGCACCTCCTGATATATTATATACTTGTTTGCTTATTTATTTATTCCCTGTCTTCTCCCACCACCAAAGCAGGAAATTTGTTTGTTTTTTAAACTGTTAAATTATTCATGCCCAAAAGAGAGCCTACCACATAATAGGTGCTTAATAAAAATTTATTGAATGAATAAACAAACAGTCTAATCATTCTTTCACTAAGAGCCAATAGAGTGAAAGAAGAGGACCTGGGTATTGAAGAACTCCAGGAAATAGCTGGCTAGAAGCCCAATGCAATTTCAAAGGCAGATAACCAAGAAAGTGTTGTGTCAGGAAAACAAATGAGAAATAAGATTTCTGAAAAACAGAGAATGATCAACAGGGCCAATTCGTGCTGAGAAATGAAGTACAGTGAGAATAGATGCCTCCGATGGATTGAGCTACATGAATATCATTGGCCACTTTTGTGGGAGTTACCTGGGAAGAAGCCTGGTTATGCTGGTTAATGGCGTGAATGAGCACAGACAATACATGCAGACAACACTTTAAAGGAGTCTCTCTGTAAAAAAAAAAGAGGGTACAGAGATAGGAAATTGCTGGCAAGGATGAGGGACAAGTGAAGATATTGTTTTTAAGTGGGAAAGACTTGTGTAAGCCTGAAAGCCTATAGAAAAAACCCAGCTGAGAAGAAGAGACATTGAATATTCATGAGAAGGCAAGGTTCCCAGAGTGGGCGGAGAGGACCCAAACCACAAGACTGGCTTTAGCAAGGGGGAGCAACCTCTCCTACACCCTCAGAGGACATACAAGGAACACAGGACTTATGATGCTTATCTGACTGGCCCACCAGCCTCGACCAGGTCCCAGTCTCCCAAAACCCAGTCAGGCACTCCTTTTCATTATGTAGTCTTTTCTCTGGATCAGCTGAGGATGTCAAGGGACAGTGAGGAGGCAAGAGGAATAGAAACCAAAGTCCATGAGTGGAAAATGCCTACAATGGACTTGGCCATTTAAGCCAAAGTTACTTCACAGCCACTCACCACTCCAGGTGTTCCCTTCCCTGTGGTGTGTGAGTCCATTGGCATAATAGGCTCCCTACAGCCCTCACTCCTGGCACCCAGGAGAGGGGAGGGACT